TATGATTTCTGAAGATCATGTGACACTGAAGACTGGAGTAATGATGCTGAAAATTCAGCTTTGCATCACAGGAATAAATTAGATTTTAATGTATATTAAAATAGAAAAATATTGTTTTACATCATAATATTTCACAATATTACATTTTCTCCTGTATTTTTGATCAAATAAATGCAGCCTTGATGAGCATAAGAAACTCCTGTAAAAAAAAACCATTAAAAATCGTTACATTAAAAAACTTTTGACTGGAAGTGTGTGTGTGTGCTTTTGTTTTTGCCCCCATTTTTCATGAACTGAACTCAATATTTGAGAGAAATAGGCCTTTTGTGTACATAGAAAAAGTCTTAGATCTTTGTTCAGTTCATGAAAAATGAGGGCAAAAACAAGTGTTGCGTTTATAATTTTGTTCAGTTATTCTTTTTAATAGTTAACTTTTAACTATTTTTGAATTATTCAGTCATCAAAGCTCTGTGAATATTGGTCACAGACACAGAGATTTACTTACAATTTTACCAAGCTAACTACTCACTAAAAACTCCCACAGATCATGTTTTCAGGCTATTTCAAGTCTTATTTTGACGTAACAAAGTGGTTATATTTAAGTATTTGAGTTGTTTACTTACTTTTTAAAAAAGTAAGTCTTCCCATTAAAGCCATTATATTGTTTATTCAGACAGATTAGCGAACGCGCATGAACACAAGAGGCGGGATTTATTGCATGAACCAATCACAGCCGAACATAACTAGTCAGATCCAACCATATCGCGATGGAGGCATTGTCTCCTCTCATGTGATTTCCCCCCATTCATCTCAATTACCCACCACCAAACCCACCGCACGCTTTAGGGGGGTCTGTTAAAACTCAATGTGCTCAGGGGAAGCGAGAGAGACGCGGACTCCTGCTTTAACTTTACCTGCTGGTGTCGCTGTTGCACAATGTTTCTTTAAAAAAAAAACGAGTGATATTTTGTAATGTTGTTTTATTTTTGTTCTACGATTTTTTTTCTCATCCACTATTTTGAGGAGACACTGCCTCCCTTGCCTACTCTGAGGAAACGCCCCTGATATATATACTCAACGGTCAAAAGCTGCAAATGCAATATATATATATTTATTTATTTATTTATTTATTTATTTATTGCATTTGCAGCTTTTGACCGTTGAGTGGCGCTTTAACAAACCCAAGTTATCAGGTGAACAAATTAAAGCACATTTCCCCTAGTAGCAGTCAGCTTCGACTTGCCAATGGGGGTTACATATGACAGTCGGCAGAAAATCTAAGAAAAACAATGTAGTTAAAATAAGTAATATTCACAGAAGCAAATTTAGTACTTATGTACTTATGTGCATTTGTTATTTAGAACGAATTAAGCAGCATAAATGTCAGGCCTGTGAACCTATGCTTATGTTTTCTCTGTGCTACACAGTACTACATGATATTTTAGATTTTTACACATTTAAGAGGTGTGCAGTGTTATTTATATCATATAAATCATGTTATATTACCATAAAAAAGAAACGGTGGTTTACTTTGCATCGAAACCAGTTCAGATTTGCTAAATGTCAAAATTGTCACATTACTTAATACTTGTCACAAATACAAATGTTTGAAATGTTAAAAATTTGCTAATAAAACGGCATGCATTTTCACATATTTTGTTATTCGTTATCAGTCCTTTATTTTGACAGAGAACTACATGATATGGGTAAAAGAATTATGAATTATGAATGTCCATGAATTAGGAAATCTTTGCGCTTTTTTTTTATTATTAATTTTTTTCTTTATTTTAGTAAAAACGTGAGCATGTTGTATTTAGCTAATAAAATGATGAAGTATAACGTGAAAGTGTTTAATTGATTGATGTGTTCGACACAAGTGTTCAACTGGTTTTATTGGATTTTTGAGCAGTGTGTTATGATTATCATCTATTTTATATTATCTAAACATTACCTGCTTAGGTAAAGCATACCTACCAACTATGAATGTGAGTGGAGCAGGAGTTACAGAGCTGTTTTATTCACTTGTTTTTTGTTTTTGTTTTTTTGTGCTGCTTGGTTTTGTTTTGTTTCATGAGAGTCACGGCGGGCAGCGAGAGAGACAAAGAAACTGGCCGAAAGAGACTGGCTACCATTATTTTGTTCCCATTATTTAACTAAAATAAGAAACAGATAATTAAAACTTGGCCACGGTTTAGCTAAAACAGTCAAACTGAAAAGAATGGTCAGATTAATCAAATGTCCTCACGTTTAAACCCACAAGTTCTCTCATTATAATCAACAAACGTCTCACTGTCGTTATTAGTCCTTCATAGATTCAGTCTTACATGTTATCTGTAACTTATTGTGAATATAAACCATCATTAATATAAACCATTTTGGACACCGCAAAGCTAAACTGCACGTTTATTTCTGTGTTTTGAAACGAATGTTGTGAATCCGGGGTTGTTCTCTGTAGTCATTCAGAGAAATGGGTCAAATCTCCACAGATGAGTTTGGCCGATCTTCAAAAGTCATTTTGACAAAAGGCTAACATGTAAATGGATATGTAATACAACTCATTAAATGACAAAATTCTGAACTTGTATTGACTAATTCAGGTTTTTTTTTAATTTTTTTTATGAAATACACAAATGACATGGACTTTAAAATCATATTTTGTATTCCACATTTTACATCAAATCACACAGGGAATACAAACACTGAACTCTATATGAAAATCTGCAATAATAAGTTTAATTGTTCCCATGCAGAACTTAGCTTATAAAAACGTAGTTCTGGGTTTTTTAGCATGTTTACTGTACACCTTGTCACGTAGCAGCTTTTAGGCATTGCTCTGTTTTTCGTTATAAGTCAGAAATGACAAGGAGGCAGCTTCCCGCAATAGAAAGTCAATGGTGAGCGTTGGATTGCCCCCCTCCTGTCTCTATAGTACATCGATGACGCATCCGTGTCCATTAAATTATTCATGAGACTACGTGTTCTTATCCTATGAGAAGACGCTTCGCTTAATTATTCACAACAGCATGTGTTGATTTGCTATGCCAGACGTTTCAGACTGTGAGATGACATAGCGCACATTAACTGAGAGAAACGTTCATGGATCGAAGAAGAGTGTTTGTTTTCGCTTTGTAATAAGAGTTTGGCACAAACGCGATTCATTCACTTGGTGAGCATAACAGTTTTTACAGCTCTGTGACACAACCATTCAAAAGGCTTATATAAACGCCACAGAATAAGCCTTAAAAGTTCTCAGAGGTGCAACAGCGCATTCATATATATGGTTTCGATGCAGAATGCAAATGGTTGTGCATTTATTTGTGTTTTTAACTCGATGGGAGCTAAATGAAACTGTCTGAACACGAAGCTGTGTGTGTTGTCTGTCTCCCTTCTTCCCCCTCCGCTGAGTCCACTCCGCTGTGCACCACGCCCACTTTTTTTAGCATTTTTAAAAACTGTGGTGAGAACTAACCAGTGCTGAAACGAACGGGGGGTTTCATGACCCTTTAAGTGTAATCTTAAACATTCAAAGAGGTAGTCTAAAATAATGACTGGTTCTGTACAGTAAAAAGTAAGGAACACCTCAAGCACTGCCGTCACTGTAATATTTAATCGTAACTGTGGTCAAATAGCTGGAACATTAAACATTTATTTGATTTTTTTTTTTTTCCTCTACTCACAAGTGAAAATGTCACCGTTCCAGCTTTATTGAGCAATGGTGTCAACCATCCATTTGAGTCACCTGGTGGTGATTTCGCGAACAAGTTTCACATGTGATTGGGTTGTATTTACATGTAGTGAATAATAGGCATTTCTTTTAACTGCATAGCGTTTTTGAGAGGAATGCGGAAACTTGAGCTGGCTTGAGCTAATGAGTCCTTATAGTCCACATCTGGGTGCCGCTGCTTCTTCCACTGTAAATCTATAATGGCGGCACTGGAATCTTGTGGGAGACTATGGGTGGTGAGATTATCAAGAACAAAGGCGATTTGGGGGCAGAAAATCCTGACTGTCATCACTTTGCAGTGAGGGCAGTATGATTTATCCAACACTGCTTTAGCATGGGCACAGACAGAGCAGGTGTCTGAAGGAGAAAGATTCTAAGGCACTGGCGTTCAGTGCCAGCCTGCATTCTGCGCATTTGAATGCCATTGGCTGATTCAATAAGGCTTCAGTCTTTTCGGAGAAAGGTGTTTCCTTTATAGCATCAGCTACTGACTCAATGTCAAGTTGAACCAAAATGAAAGGGAACTCCGAGACATTTACAATTACACACCCACCACAGATGTTGTGTGCAAGTTAAAACAGATTTGTGTGTTTGTGTGTGTTTCGGTGTTTCAGGGAGGCTTAAATGACTATAAAACATTTCTTAAAATTATTTAGTAGATATCCGTTGAAATGCTTCATTTTGCATTCATAATATAATATATTTTAAGTCTAATAAAGAAATGATCTCAAAGGGGGATCCTTGGCATTAGAATTATGAAAATTGTATGATTATGAAAATCGCTGATACAAACAGTCTTACAAAGTTACATCAAGGGTCAAATAAAATAGAAATAGCACCTCAAAGTTACAAGTTGCAATTGCATGATGTAACCACTTTTTGTATGTATGCTGTACAGGTCTGGTAGAAGATGTTTTGCTTAGCAAGAAAAGAAAAGAGAGAGAACAATTTATCAATGTTTATTTTTTAAGTGTCTTTATAGTCTGGTTGTTTTTAACACAATATATGCACATTTGTATTGCTTTGATAAGAGCTTTTCGTGCAAATAATTTAATCAGTGGAAAAAAGTTGTGTGTGTTTTTTCAGAAGCTCAAGCAGATCTTTGAAGAAGGATTGGAACTACAGAAAGCTCATCTGAGAGAGCAGCGTGCATATACTAAAGAACTGCGTCAGGAGAATTACCGCAAATACAAATATGAGATTGAGGCCATGGAGAACTACTACAGAGACCAGGTAAAAACAGTATTTATTCATGTGTGTGTTAACATATTGTACAGATTGTCTTTAAAATTAGAAAAGGTCACATTGTTTGATAATGGACAGTGAGTATTTGCTCTTTGAAAGCAAGCAATGCTCAAGATCAAAGTAAAAGTATATGTTGCAAAGTAGTTATTTTTGCAGGAAATTTAATCTAGCGTAACTATGTAGGAGGTCCTTTTATGACTATTTGATTTTTTGACTATTTTGTCAGTTAAATGCTTTACATTTTTAATGGCACTTTTAAAGGTGTCATGAACTTACATCCTGTAAGTTTCAAAACTTTCTCGTTTGTTTAAAAACAGCTTTTATTGAAACCAAGCTCAGAAACCGACTCGTTGTCGAATGTGCCACTTTATGACATAATAGTGTGGCTAAGCACCGCCTCCACAATAGAAGATCAACACCTGCTTCTACATCACTGCCTCTTTAGCCCCAACCACTGACTGCCGCATGTAGTAGGAGGAGAGGAAATACTAGAGAGACACAAACACCGTATTACTCCATCAACAGAACCATACAGATGGCATTACAAGATTACAAGACACTGTGTAGTGTAAGTTGTTAAAAATAGTCTTTGAATTCCTTGTGATCCTAACATATCTACATCGGACGCGAGCGCTGTTGCGTCATGTTGCGAATCAATTTCTTTTTCAGGTCAGAAGCGGCGCGAATGTCAGACGTAGAGCGGGACATCAGTTTACTGTCGGGATTTGTTGTGTCAATCCATACAGCATCCAGTGTAGACAGAATTGCAGATTATAATAGGTTCTGTTGTCTATAGTCGCATTAAGCCACTCGCGTCCGATGTAACCACGGAGTAAAATTAGCAAAGAGCTCCAGATCGTGTCAGTGAAACACTGTTTGTTTGTTTGCTTTACTTTGCTACGGATTCATTTTTAAACAAGACAGTATGATGCAGGCTTTTCAGAGAGACTGTCAGTAAATAATGATGCAGCGCTTAGTCTGACTATAGTGGATCCAAAAGTAATGTTGCAATACATAAGTGACTACGTTTACATGGACATCAGTAATCTGATTATTTACCTTATTCTGAATAAGACAATATTGTTATTAAGGTGTTTACATGAGTTGCTTTTAGAATATTCCTTTCATGTTCCCGTTTTACATGTTATAGTACATAGATCGATTAATGGCACACGTCATTACGTCCCCACGCCACGCCATCCGACATCCAACCCAGAATTTCACGTATAAACATATAGTTTGTCTTCGTTATGATGCCATATACAGTTTTGGGTGTTTCGTTTTTTATTTTACGAAAGCTTCAAGTGCAGTTAATTCTTTGTCATACTATACGTGCAAACAGATGACGGCGTTGTTGAAGCCATGCTCTTTTGTTGGCTGTCAAACGGTTGACCACTGCTGTGTGTGTATCCTGTTGCAAAATGCTGTAATAGTGTGATTAAGGTGTGTACATGTCTATACTGCACTTCAATAATGCGACTAAAATAGGAATACTCCACATGTCTTAATTCGATTTCTGTTTACTTCAAATAGTACTTTAGCCGGAGTAAGGTAATCAAAAATCTCTGTTTACATGGTAGATTCTTAATCAGAGTATTGCCTTAATCGTGTTAAAATCGGATTATTGTTCTCCATGTAAACGTACTCAATGTGAGTAAACGTGCTTTTACCACTACTGCATTGTCTGTTCCATTGTCTGTTCTATTACTTCTAAATTATGATGTTTTTTAATGTAAAATCACACTAACATTATAAGTGAACCTCAGAGAACATTATAAAATAATAATAAAAAAATGCAGTTAATGACCCCTTTAACTCAACTTTTTTCTTTTAATTGATAACTCTATGGATGTCCACAAAGATAATGCTATTCAAATTTATAGTCTAATTTATACCCCATATATAAAATAGTCAATATATGCAAATCTGTGACCACAACTAAAATTAGTTTAAACAAAGTATTAACATTTAAATAGAGTATTATTATTTTTTTCATTGCATGCCATAATTTTTATTACATTGCATGCTAAAATACTAAAGGCTTGAGTCTCTATAGCTGTTACGATCACCAGCTGGAGTGCCCATGAGCTCCACTAGAGGGCAAGTCAAGTCACCTTTATTTGTATAGCGCTTTGTACAATACTGGTTGTGTCAAAGCAGCTTTACAGTGTCAAACAGGAAAATTTGTTTGTCAATAATGTAAGAAGACAATAACAGTGTCAGTTTTCCAGCTAAAGTTAGTTCATTGATGATTCAGTGATGTCATCATCCAGTTCAACTCCAACTTCCAATAGTGTCTGTGCAATCAGTCAAGCGTCCCTAACTAAGCAAGCCAAAGGCGACAGTGGCAAGGAACCAAAATTCCATCGGTGACAGAAATGGAGAAAAAACCTTGGGAGAAACCAGGCTCAGTTGGGGGGCCAGTTCTCCTGCAGACGAAACCAGCATGGCGTGGTTTAATTCCAGGCTGCAACACAGGTGCAGAGGACTTGTCTGGTTCCCGTTGTCTTGTGCCGATGGTCGTCGAGGTGATGAGGTCTTCGCAGGGGATCTGTCTCTGGGACACATCTAGTTGACGTGGTCTCCGCTGACATTCAGGGCTGTAGAGGTCGTCTCTAGGTGCTGATCCACCACCTGATCTGGATATGGACTGGATATGGGTGGCTACAGTGACCATCTGATCTGGATTCAGACTGGATCTGTATGGCTACGGTGACCTCTGAATAAGAATGAAAGAGACTAATATTAGCGTAGATGCCATTCTTCTTACGATGTAACGAGTACATCGG